CGGTTTAGGGTCTAGGGCTTAGGGTTTGGAGTTCAGGGTTTGGAGTCTAGGGTTCAGGATTTGGGGTTTAGGGTTTAGGGTTTAGGGTTTGGGTTTAGGGTAGGAATCCTGCATGATGCTCAGTTCCTTACACGTTGGGAAGTCTGGTAGTCTAGTATCCTCAGGTCATGCAAGGCTTTAAGTAATGCCCTCCCCCTAATATTCAACCTCACCACCCCAAATGTTAAACATTCCCATCGTGATATGCCATAATCCACTGTGAATATTAAAATGAGCCGGGTTTTGGTCGGGTTTTGAACCCTAAACCCTAAACCTTAACCGGGGGAGAGGATTATCATCGGTCCGTAGTGCTCCTCGCCACTCCAACTGAGTAGTATTTTATTTGGGGGTACTATGGTACCCAATACAGAGTAAGAATATATCCTCCTTTTCGGTATAGCATCTTATATAAGGAATATGATCTTCCTTTGTTCAACCACCAAAAAAACACTACTCGACTGCAACTGTGAGGCTGAAGATCTGGGTCGTCGTGCCCTTCTTGGTGGCGAGAAAGAGTTCGGGCAGGCGCTTCCTGCGACCCTAAACCCCAAACCCTAAACCCCAAAACCTAAACTCCAAACCCTAAATCCCAAACCCTAAACTCCAAACTCTTAACCCCAAACCCCTAAACCCAGACCCTAGACCCCAAACCCTCAAGCCCAAACCCTAAACCCAGTTGAGGGCTTACCTTTGGCCTGAATTAAAACTCATCTACAGATGCCAAAAGGCACGCAGAACACAGCCCCTGAGTCTTCCCGGAAGCCCTTGGGGCCCCAGCCTTGGGTCCCTAAAGCTTGGGTTTAGGGTTTAGGGACCCTAAACTGAAACGCCTAAACCTTAAACTTTAGACCCTACACCCCACACCCTAAACCCTAAATTCTGAACCCTAAACTCTGAGGCTTGAGAGCCTCAATCCCAAAGCTCTAAGTTTTGAGAACTTTTTAGGGTTTGGGATTTATTGGGGACTTTCAAGCCTCGAGGTCTCTTTGAGGTTTAGGGTTTTGTCGTCAGGTTCACCCTGAGACTCTGAGCTACGTGAACACGCGGCTCGGCAGGAAAATCTTCCCGACACCTAGCATGGAAAGGGGGGAAAGGCTTAATTAACGGGAACCACAGACTCCCTGTCCCCTGACAATAGGACCCCCCTCTTCCACCCTGATATGAAATATTCCCAGTATGGGATGCTATGGTAGGTTTTGGCATACTTGTTTTGTATTGGGGAGGTGAGCGAGTTTCATGTCAAGGAGATGGGATTAGTAGCTTATACAGGGCTCGCTAAAGAGTCCTAGCGCTGGTTTGGGGTTCACCGTTTAGGGCTTTAGGTTTAGGGTTCAGGGTTTAGAAAAGATGATGTTGCACAATACGTCCCGCGGGCACCCGAAACCCCTAGAACGTCTAGAACCTACCCTACGCCCTAACACCTTAATCCCTACTTCCCTACACACGCAAAAGACCAACAACCTAAAACTGCACAATCCCAAAACAAATCCTCGGTGCCACATTCGTACAACTTCGACAGTTGAACACTTGTTGAGTTCCTCTCTCTCTCTCTCTCTCTCTCTCTCGCTCGCTTTGAAGCCAAGATTCAACCCTTAAGTTCTAAAGAAATTCATGAACCCCAGAATCCTTACACCCCAAGTCCTTAAATCCTAAAACTCCGAACCCTCAATCCTGCACGCAAAAGCTACTCGCCAAGTTGGCAAACATGCTGCAGGTCCCTAAGCCCTAAACCCCAAACCCTAAACCCTAAACCTCTAAATCCCTGAGCCCCTAAACCGCTCAGGTTGGCCAAAGTCCTCCAGGCCCAGAATAAGGTCGACGAGGCGGAGCTTCTACAAGAAAGGATGTTCCTTGGCGGAGCTGTAGCCCACTATTGGAGTACAGCACTTTAATATTTTTGGGGTCCTGGGTTCTTATTATAACAACTTGTATACCTAAAAAGTCTATACTTTTTTTTTCTGGGGTGTACTCCAAACTAGGGGTAGTCTTCTTAGGAGTTGTTCTTAAGTTCTATTATCTTATAACCCCAGGGGAGTATGTTTAAAAGATTTATTCTTGTTCTGGGTCTAAGGGGATTGCAGGGAAAAAGAGATGCCGAAAGGAAACTGCGGGTTTTTAGGGTTTGGGATTTTTTGTTTTAGGGTTTGGAATTTAGGGTTTTAGCTTTGGGATTTCAGGGTGTGGCGTTTAGGGTTTAGATTTTAGGGTTTGGGATTCAGGCTTCATAGGGTTTAGATTCAAGGGTGTGGGGTTTAGGGTTTAGGGTTTAGATTTTAGGGTACAGGGCTTGGGGAGGTTTCTTGGGCGGAGAGGAGATACCCTACGAAGCCCAGTGGTACCATTTGGGGTGGTTGCTCCGGTATACGACATATAGGAAAACGGGTTCCTCATTGTACTATGACCACAGGGCTACCAAGTACCGAAATTAAATTGTTTATCTACCCCAACTACCATAGTGTTTACGTTTTGAGGCTTAGGGTTGCCTTCGTAGTAAACCCAAACGCTAAACCCGGGTTCATGTCTGCTTGGCCCTCATTCGTGTGTGGAGTTTGAGGCCCTGGCAGGAATCCAAGCAAATATCCTGTGCCGGGATAAGCTGCCGAAGATACCCGGCATGCCGCAAGCGCCAAGTGGGGGTTGTTCTAAAGGTCCTTGTAAAAAAGGGACCATTGGGAACACACTTCCTTAAAAGGGGATCCTAACCAAACAGGGAACCTACATTCTGGCCATTATGGGGACAGGTATTTTGAACAACTACCATGTAAGTCGTGAGCGAGTGCCGAAACGACCAATCACTACAATGCTGAAAGCTATCCCCGCTGCGTCCCACGAGCCTTAAGTTCTCGTATGGATGAACATACCCTAAACCCTAAACCCCTAAACCCTAATCCTCTAAACCCCCAAACCCCTAGACCCCTAAACCCTGATCCTCTAAACCCCTCAACTCTAGACCCCTAAACCCTGATCCTCTAAACCCCTAACCTCTAAACCCCTAAACCCTCCTAAAGAGCAAGCCCTAAATTGTAGTTTCCATTTCATTTTCCATTATCCCTATATAACCCCTATGTATCCACTATCCTTATAGCCTGAGGATGCAAGATAGCACGCTGACCTCTTTGAGCCAGCTGGGTTCGCTGCTTCACGAGCGTGGCAAGCTCTCAGAGGTCCTTCGGGTGCCAATTCTTCAAGGAGGAGTACCACTTTTCGTTTAGGGTTTAGGGTTTTGATATTTGGGTGGTTTCCCAGTTTCCCAAAATTATGGTGATTCGGAGGTGGTCTTGATGATAAAGGATTGTAGTATTCTGGGGGATGTAGATTCGGGTCCCCCTCTTTTGGGAAACTATCATGTGCATATAGGATTACACATGTTAAAGCCAGAAAACCCTAATCCCTAAACCTAGATGCAAGAAAGCATAATGCGCTATACGTAAAGGTACATGAGCCGCTCAGGGATTGAAGGGTTTTGGGGTTTGAGAGCTCTTAAGGGCTGAGGGTTTACAGTTTAAGGCTAGGGTTATAGTCCCCCTTAAGCAGATATATTATAGTAAGGTCCCCATATACCGTGTGGTCTATCTACTTCAGGGGACTATGAGTGTTTAGAGCTTTCAAGAACTGAGATGTCAACACGACTACGCTCGGTCTAGACCTCTGACTTTCAAAATGCTCATTTACTCAGTGGACGTTAGTAGGGAATGAAGGAATAAGGCAATTTGAATCTCTGATATAGGGGTTATGGAATATAGAGAGATTACATTCCCATCCTCCCTACTGACCACCAGTACGTTTAGGCCTTGTGGTTTTGCACTAGTAGGGTGCCATGTTCACGGTAGAAGACCGGAATAACCTCATGAGGTTCAAGAACAACTTGTGCTCACTAAGATTTCAGAAGCCAATGTACGTTCACAATTTTGGGAGACAGGGTAAGGGTACAGAGTTTGGGGGGAGGGGTGGTTCTCAGGGTCTAGGGTATAGGTGTGTGAGATTTTAATCTGAGGGTCTCGCAGCAGCGCACTCCCCATTCAAGGTATACACCAGTGAAGAGCAGCATTCAACGAACCCATCCCAAGCCAACATTCCTTGCAGGTCTTCTACCCGAAGCCTCATAAATTCTGATTGTCAATCCCCTCAGCCAACTACAAACAAGCCTCTGACGCCTTGAAAGCTGGTCAGCTTGCTGTGGTATGGGAATTTTCCATTTGGGGCACCAAATATAGTCCCCAGCACATTATAATCCTCAACATAAGGGCTCCCAAAGAGAAACCCTGGATGATTTCAAACCTCGTCATCGTTCCCTAAACCTCAAACCCTAAAGCATGAACCCTTAACCCTAAAATTCAAACCTCATGAAATGTGGAGCTCCCCCCCCCCCAACTCCCTCCCCCAAGTGCTGAAAAGCAGCCATCTGCATGCGACCTGAGAATAAGCCTGGTTAGGCTTATTTAGGCTTATTTAGTGCTAATTAGGACTAACTCATTGAAAACAAGTTAGGGCTAATTAAGCTTATTTAGGCAAAATTTGGGGGCGATTAAATGGCTTCATCCAACACAGCTCACAGCAGACAGAAGCAGCTGCTTTTTTTTTACGGCGTGATCTGTTCTGCGATCACTGCTGGCGGATGAAATTCTCCAGCTCCTCACGTGTTGGCCTCCGCATGGCAGGCACGATTCAGAGCTAATTGCATTGTAGCATGAGTGGTGGCTGTTGATTACATTATGGGATGAGTGCTAGCGAGAAACTTCTCACACTGATTGTTGGGGTTGGCTCGATTCCATCTGTCGTAAACCCAATCGATGACGCTGCAGAGGGCGTCGAGCTCCGTGGCGCAAAACCTTGTGGGCCACCCTCGCGTGTGGCTCTGCTTCCCAGGAAGGTCACCTTGGAACATGTCTGGTTCATCCGGGCTCCACATCTCAAACCAAAACATGGGATGATGATCACACGTTGAAACACCAACCTAAATTTCAGGGCAGGGGTCGCACTTTGTAGGTCACCCTGTAGTAGAAATTTCCAGGGCTGTCATTCCGGAACTGCTGGAAAGCACTGTGGTTGGCTCCCCTTCCCGGCAGAAGGTCCTTGAATTCCAGAGGTGTTACCCCAGCACGGTGCTGGGCATGCTCGCGAACGACCTTCTGGTTGGAGGGCGGATTCTCATTGAAGGGCAAAGGTCCTTCTGGCTGAGGCGCAGGGTTTGCTGCAGCCGCGGCATTAAAAGCTGCTGGAGCGGCGTTGGCCCCCGCCGGAGCGGCGGCTGGCTTGCTTGATGCTCCAGCACCATGCGGTCGAATTCCTGCTGCGCGAAGACGCAGCGATGCCACAAATCGCTGCCGAAAGCGGGGTCCCTCCTTGGCGGTCTTTTGGAGGTTGGCTGCCAGAGCTGCTTTTTTGCGAAGCTTCTCCTGTGCCCACTGCTTCACATCGGCAAAACACCTTTCGTTCTCCGGGTCCAAATGCTGGCACATGTCTAGCACCGCCTGCTCGTCCGGGCGGCTTTTCGGGTTGGCGCTCTTGCCGTGCAAGAGGCGGGCCAGCATACTTTGAATGTCGGCCGGTGTGTGCTTATCCGATTTGTCAAAGACATGGTTGAGCAGCTGCTGGAGGTAGTCCTCCTTCCTGGGGTCCTTGCCGTCCTTTCGCTTCCCAAGCTTCGGCAGCTTCAGCTGCAAAATGATGCTCTTGATTTGCGGGACAGTGAGGAAGACACCCTGTTCCAGCGCACTGCGCAACAGGGATCTGCCGGCCTTCTCTGTCACGCGCAAATAGATCCCCAAGATGAGGTCCTCTGGCAATCGGCATGGGAGGGTTACCTCCGTGGGCATGTGCAGCCATGGCGTCGCGTCATCCTGCACGGAATAGTTGAACAAGAAGGTTGGCAGCGAGAAGCCAGCACCATCTGGTAGCAAGAAGACCTGCTGCTGTTTGGGCTGTTTTCGGCAAAATGGGAGGGCGCTGCTCAACAAAGCGCCTGCAAAAACTGTTGGACAAGAGACCCTTGTGGCAAAAACACGCGCAAACACCGGACACGTGACCAAACAAAGTTTACGGCAGCCTGATCTCCGGACTGATAGACCTTGCACTCCACCCCAAGCGCTGCATAGGTCTTGAACCCGAAGCAGAGGAAGTACTTGCGGTCCTCCGTGTGATAATAGACTTTGCCCTTGCTCAAAAGGCAGCCTGCAGAGAAATGGGAAAGGTTTAATGTAGGGGCTGAGGGTTCGGTGGGGCACTGTAGCAAGGAATCTGGTACCGTTTGACCGGTCAGGGCGGCCTGAAAGAACTCCTCATCAAGACTAATCGGAACCATAACCCAAAAACCTTACCTGAGCCTGAAACCTCACGCCCTTCCAAACCCAACAAACAAACCTGCCTGCCCAGCACTTGTCAACGTGGAACCATAACCCAAAAACCTTACCTGAGCCTGAAACCTCACGCCCTTCCAAACCCAACAAACAAACCTGCCTGCCCAGCACTTGTCAATGTGGCTCCAGTTGTCTGTCTGGTCCATACCCAGGTAGGCCACCGCCGCCGCCCCCCTTTGGTTGGACTCTGGCCCTGCTGCTTTCCAGCCGCCGGCTTGCATTCCTTCGGGCTTCGGAACCAAGACGCTGTCTGCAGACTCGGGCTCTGGCATGCTCGAACTGCCTGAGTCGAAAATCTCCTTCAAGTGGCCGAAGTCCACACCCTCCTTCATGTAGGCGTCCCAGTCTTCCTTGTCCGGGATGATTGTGCGTATGCCGCCGGAGGCCACGCACCTAGCAGTCGAGGCGTAGAACAGCCTAGCAAAGTGACTCATTTTTCGATTGTTGGACGCTGCGTGGGACATGCCCTGAAGGTGCGCAAACGTGTCCTCCAGGCAGTGCTTGGTCGTGCCGCTACCACGGTACAACTTGGCACAGAGTTGCCGACAGTCCGCATTCAGCGGGTCAAAGTCGCACTGGATCAGCCTGCCGAGAATCTCACGCGGAAGCTGATGGTAGCACCAGCCCACGTGCGAGAGGACCGTTTCCATCTTAGCTGCTTTCACCAGGTCCTTGTTCACGCACTCCTTGAAATGCTGCTCGGCCTCATAGACCGGCAGCAAGTCGTCCTTCAAGCGCTTGACGAAGCGTGCTCTCTCCTCACTGTCCGGAAGCAGGTAGACTGCAAAAGCCTGTGGCATATTGCAGCTTGTGGGGATAAAGGCCCACGCGTAGCGGGCTGCCAGCTCATGACTGAACTTGACGAGGAGCTCGGCTGTCGCTTGCTCTTCCTCTTCCCATGTGAAGGAGTCAGCAGGGTTGGCTGCTTCCATGGTGAAGCGAAGGCGCTTCAGCACAGAGTACTTGGAAGGAGTTCTGAGGATGTCTTGCACTGTTCGAAACCAGTCTCCTGCTGCTCGCTTGGCTGCCCATGTGCCTTGCTCCACGGGGCCACCCTGCATGGTTTTCAAGCTCTTGGCGTAGGCGTCCTCGATCGGCGCCGTCGCCTCAACGATGATGATTGCGGCTGCTTGCAAACCGCGGTCCCGCAGAAACGTGTACATCATGCGGGTTGGCCCCTTGCCAGCAAAGTACTTGTACAACTGCGCCTTCGTTTTTGCCTGGTCATTCCCCGGCATCTCATCGTCGCTCAATTCGTCATCGTCTGCGCCCTCGGCTAACGTTGGGGGCAGGGTGTTTGACGGTTCTGTGAAGCAGCGCCGGGGAACCTTTCACTTGACCAAAAAATCACACGCCACTGCCAAAACCGAACCCGAAAAATTCGTGTTTTCCAAATCTGAGAAGCTGAGCCCAACCAGTCGGAGGCTACTGAAATCCAGGCCACTGAAATCCAGTTTTTCCTACTTAGCCCTACATCGACTACACATGTTTGCGCGGTGATTATGAGGCTTCGGGAAACACATCAGGACTGCAGCAACTCAACTGAATTCTTAGGCTTGCACCAACGTCAGAACGGCTTTGATGCACTCTTTCTCGAGACTCCAGTTCGCGATCAGTTGCCGAAGGCCACGCTGAAGTGAGAACCAGCTTTTGTTCTTGACCTGGGCAAAGGTTTGCAAAAAGCCTGCAACGGACAACCCCTAAGTGCTGTCTCTCAAAACGTGGGCTGAGAGTGGAGCAAACTCACCCCGCTTTCGGACGCAACTCTCCTCCAGGAAAACCTCTGCATCGAAATGCAATTCTTCCGGATCCACCGTACCCATGTTCCTGTCCCAGGCCACATCTTCAGCAAGCGTGGCGTAGTAGGAGTCATCTTTCTGCGCAAGGAACTTTTGCATGCATTGCTGTCGGGTAAGCAGCTTATCGCCGGAGCAATAGCTCCCATGGCGATAGTTGCCTAAGCTTGCGCTTCCGTGCCTTTCAACTTACATTCAGGCATGACCTCATGTGGCCGGGGGACACAGTATGGTAAGCTTCAGCGCGGCCATATCGAGCCCAATTGCGTTCAAGGAGTTTTTCACCGTGTTCCACTGCTGATGACAAATATCAGCATCGGCTGCTGCACGCAGGGGGGTCTTGTGCAAGATGCAGTTAAGCGCCTTGTGCTGGCACTTTTCTTCATCCACAACCTTGGGTGCGCAAAACCACGGATGCAGCAGGCCTAAGCAAACCCAGCGCTTAGCAAACCAAGTTATGTTTGGCAGGGCGCAAATTTCAGCATCTTTGTCGAATTTGGATCCGGGAGCTTTGCTCTCTTCAGGTCGGAGCCAAACGGCAGACACTGCAGTTTTGGCGGCATGAAGTCCACATAGCTGTTGTCCGTCATCCAGAGCAGCACGTGGCTGATGCATTTGAGATACACCTGTTTTTGGAGCCAGGGGAACTGATGTGAGGTTTCTGGATCGAGCAGTTCGTCTAGACTTGTTTGCTCCATCGAGCTTCCGAGTGTGTCTGAGGCACTATCAGCATCTGAGCTTTGTCTCAGGAATCACAAGCTTCCCACACACACTATCACACCGAGCACCACGCCCAGAAAGTACTGCAATCTCTCTTCGTTAGTTTCGGCCTGACAGCAGAAGATACGGGCCCTACGAATTCAAGCCGCTTTGAATCAGCACACTTAGAGGGATCCCTGTGTAGTGTAAGGGTCTCGGAGCACACTTACCAGACTTGCGAGAACGAAGCACGGGAGTAAGGTAGGTGCTTTGAATCAACCCCCTTGCAACCCCAAAAAGGAATGCTGGAGCTTGTGCACTAGCGCAAAGAACAAATTCACTGGCACCAAACTCAGAATCGCAAAAAAAAAGACTGGCCTCAAGATGTTGTTCCGCCCGTCGAGGCTTTCCCACACAGCTTTGTTCATGGCCTCGGCGGATAGATTTCCACGTGCTGTGGCTTTGGGCTTCCAAGGTTCCATGCGTGGCAAAATGTCTCAAGAAAACAGCGCACACTGCCGGCTTTTCGGGATCTGCTCCGGGGGCGCAGTCGTCTGGCGCTGGCAAAATGTTGCTGCACGCATCAAGGCAACTCTACTGACGTTTTTGTTTCCGCTTAGAGCCTAGACGGGTTACACTGTGAGGCTGAGAAAAGGTCCCTTGTTCCGTGCACAGCAGCGGCGCTGGCCAAAGTGCCTGAGAATCAAAACTGTGAAGATCCTGGGCCAGAGCTTCTGTAAGGTGTGCTGCCCAAGGCGGCGCTACATCGGTACTATTTTGGAAAATGAAATAATATACCACATGAACCCCGACCCTTGCGCGTTGCCCAGACCACCTGCTTGCTCCGACCCCAAAATAGAATAGAACACTATGATAAAGTCTCCCATCCAAACTTCCAATCCTGCAACGAACCTAAAGCCCTTCAAGCGCTTGAGCCCGAACCTCTGAAACTGAGACCCTAGCCCTGGCCCAGCCACTCTCCGGAAAGTGCGGCAGACTGCACGCGGTGGTGTCTTGAAGGTATCTCGACTTCTCTTCTGCGTTCTACCCGTATCCTACAACATTACCCATTGAGGTATACAGCGGGAATCCTTGTGTCGCAAACAATACGCATGTTGAACTTCTCAAAAATTGGGGACTAGGGGCGACGGGAATGTTCGGGAACGTTTTCTGAGTCTAGCGGTAGGCGAGATTCTTAAATTTGGGTCGGGAGTTCCAATTCTGCGCAATCTGGAAACTATTGCCCCATACCGGAAGCACAAGGCTAAGGCTGGTTACGGCCCGCCAAACCCGACTAAGCACTCATAGCAGCCGTAACAACAACAGCACGAACAGCAGCAACAACAGCAGCGGCAACAACAGCAGCAGCAAGAACGCAGCAGCAGCAGCAGCAGCAGCAGCAGCAGGAACAACAGCAGCACCAGCAACAATAGCAGCAGCAGCAGCAGCAGCAGCAAGAACAAGAAGACCAACCGTAACAACCACAACGACGACGACAACGACCACCACCACCACCACCACGTTAAGGAACTTTGCGTAAGCGCCCGCGCAACATCAAGGAACTTTGCTTAAGCACCCGCAACACACCACCAACAACGCCGCCGCCGCCACCAGCACCAGCGCCAGCGCCGCCGCCTCCGCCACCGCTGCCACCACCACCACCGCCACCGCCACCGCCACGACCATGACCACCGCCACGACCATGACCACCACGACAACGACAAGAACGACAACAACGACAACAACGACGAC